CTTTCTTTCTTTCTTTCTTTCTTTCTTTCTTTCTTTCTTTCTTTCTTTCTTCATATAGCCACCTACTCAACACATGACTCTGGGTGGCTAAGAATTCATTTTAAACATCAACATGAAAGAAAAACAATTTTAAAAAACAGTTTAAACAATACAATGTGCTCAGAGCAGTTCAACAACACACCATCAAGAACACCAAGACAGGCTCACCAATGCCTGGCCCAGTGCCTGCAGGAAGAACCAGGCCCACAATGCCTTACAAAAGGCCAGTAAAGGTGGGCTATCTGAATCTCATGGTGTATGTTGTTCAATGGGGTGTGTGGTGGTGTCACAACAGAGAAGGCACATTTTCTGGGTCCCATTAGATGGAATTGTTTTATTATGCCCACCCCTGTCAGACCTCATGGAATGACCAGAAATTATTGGAGATAGGCAGTCCAACATGGACCTATACCACTTTATAGGTTATAACCAGCACCTTGAAGTCCACTCAGAAGCCCACTGGAAGCTAGTGCAGCTTGGAAAGTAGAGGTGTTACATGGGTATACTGAGGCATGCTTATAATTGCCCACACTGCTGCATTCTGAACCAGGTGTAGCTTCCAAGTGGCTTTCAAAGGCAGCCCCATGTAAAGTATATTGCACCTCCAGATGAGAAGTGACTAAAGCATGAGTGACAGTGAGTAAGGCCTGCTGCTGTAGGAATGGGTACAATTGGTGCACAAGATGAATCTGTGTGAAGGCTTTCCTAGTCATGGCTGCCACCTGCCAGCTGAGAATTTAGGAGGACTCCCAAATTGCATACCAATTCTGTCTACCACATTCAGAACCAAAGATATGAAGTCCTTGGATCCAGATCTATATAACAATATAGTGGTTATGTTGTTGGACTTGGAGTGAGATGCATGAACCAAGCCCCAGTCAAGAAGTGAAAGAGGACAAATAATAACTTTCTAGCTGTTCCCATGGAAGTCTTTAGAATGTCTTGCTTAACTCCCATAAGGAAACAGACGTCGATGTGTAAGCCCAGTGACAGAGCTGAAAATTGGGAAAGTTAAAACCTTATCATGAAAAAGAAGTAATAATTTAGATAAAGAAAACCTGGATGTTTGTCCATTCCATACAAACTTTCTCAATATTTTATAAATCTGTTTAAAATACCTGGCAGGTGATAATATAAGCATTCCTCTAAGAATATCTATCTATCTTGAAGTAACATTCATTTTAACAAAGTTGATTCTTCCCCACAGACTCAGGGATTCTTAACCAGCCATTAATAAGATGGTTAAGATAAACAGTTCAAAACATTTACCTCTACAAATGAGGAAGTGTTCCTTGGAATATAATATTTCAAGCTATTTAAAAGAATTCAAACAAGATGCATTTCCCCATTTTTTTCAAATTTCCACAGATACTTAGAACCTATAGGAAGTACAGTAGACTTATTCCAATTACTTGAATAACCTGATAACTTACCAAACAATTGTACTAAATCCATAAATAGAACACTAACGGTTATCAATACAACATAAAGTATTACTAGCACATAATAATAAATTGTGTTCAGTGTCAGCCACCTCAGCATCTAAAGCAGTCTTCCAATATTTAATAAAACAGGCAGAGGTTCCAAAGACAAATTAAATATGAGAAGTAATAATGGACATCCTTGACAATGGCTGATGAATCAGAATACCAGACTTTAATCCAAAACAAGTTAAAAAGCTTGCATTATAGAACAGAAGATGTTGGTTAAACTAGGAGAAGTATCTTGAGACACTTGTAGGATCATTTTGCTAATGGACTGAATTCACTGGAAGAAGGAAAGCATTGTTCCTTGCAGCAGGTCTTAAAGTAGACACCAGGGAAATATTCTAACTATAGGAAATACTCTTGTTTGGATTTGACAGGGAAGTGGACTAGCATTTTGAACTGATTACTTCCAGTAGGTAGGTGGGTAGGTATTTTTGTTTGTTTGTTTGGAAATTTTATATGGCCACCCATCTTAAACAAGTAACTCTGAGCAGCTAACAAACAATACATTAAAATCATGTTAATAAGAAATTAATTTAAAACAGTGCAAAATACAATTATGAATTATCATCAAATTAAAACCCCAAGTTGCCTCAAAACAGTTCACATACTAACAGGCAAATCAGGGTCCACAAATATCTTGAGCCTAACACTTGAGAAAAGAGTCAGAACTTTACAGCCTTCTAGAAGGCCAATAGGGTCAGGGCCATCCAGATCTCAAGAGCAAGGCTGTTCCAAAGGATGGGCATTATTACAGAGAAGGCACGTCTCCTGGGTCTCACATAATGACATTGTTTCAGAGAGGGTACCTGGATCATTTCCATCCTACTGGATTGGGTAGGATGGGTTGAAACCACTGGATATCCCTGCCTGCCCTCTAACCCCTCACCCTGGACCCATGTCTTCCTGTCCCCAAAGAGCCCCATCGCAACCACACTAACACACTCCATTAACAGGTGGGATACAGCTGGTACACACACACACACACAAACACACACACATATACATACACACCCAAAAAATCTGAGAGCTTTTTCATAGCATTCAGCACCCATAAGCTTGGGATACCTGCCAGCTTCTTACTCCACACTCAAACATCCTCCCCCACACGCCATCCCCCGGTGCTGAATGCTATGCTTAAAAATGAAGCAACAGCCACAGATTAACCGCTTCTATATTAGACAAAGGTTTTTCCCTCATTCTAGTCTCCTGAAATAATGTTGAGCTGCAGGTGCTCCTGACTGAACTTTGTGCATGTAAAGTTATGGACACAAGCATTCTACACAACACTCTGTAGGATCCCGGGATGCACCTCAGCATTGCTTGTGAGAGGAAGTGTAGGCCACGCCTGGAAAGGAGCCTGTGAGTCAGACTTCATCAGATTAGTGCATGCAGGAAAATAAGAAAATAGGAATAGACAGCACCACTTCATCTATAGGTACAAGATATTACTTTGAACGTTTCCAAGACAGTCTCTTGCAAACTGAAAGCTAGAAAACTAGGGAGAAAGGTTCTAATGTATACATTTCTTGTGCTCCTTTCCTGCTTACAGAGAAGGTTTAAATCAGGAAGAATTCAACATTTTGAATTCCTTTAACCAGAGTATAAATTTGTACATTCTGCTTCAACATCTTATTCCATTAGTTCTATAGATCAGCCCACATCTCTTAGCAGATACACGTTACAGCTCCCTGAAATAAAGTCAGTTCCTTTGATCTACAACACCAGACACCTTTTGAAATAGCACCAAGCCTATATTCAAAACAAACCGCTGGACAAATGTCCTCTTTACCTTGCAGTTCCCTCATCCTGGATCAGTTGCTTACAGCTTCAGGGAGCTGTCCATGCCACAGCAGCTGGAAGCTATGCCCTGCTCTTTCCTGTCCAGGAAAAAAAAAAAAGGGA